CATGTGTTGGCTATGTGTGGTCTGTGAATGATTCATGCTCACGCTTTGGAGCAATTTTGCCCGCCCAAGTTTCCCTTCCTTCTTGGGTTGAAGTTGTTTTTTGTTGCACAATTAAATCCGATCACCCAGACCGCTGAATTGAAGATCATGTAGACTTTGTTCCGTACAAATTTGGGGCCCCGGATTCCATTTTAGGGCCTGATTTGGGTCAATTTTGGTCTAGTTTTGGGTTCCATTTTGGGGCCCGTTCTGGCGTCCTTGAATTTGTTTGTAATTCTAGGGGCCCCGAACGGTGCCCAAAAATGGAGTCGTCCTCGTGTCTCAGATGGAATAGCGTCACTTTTGTGGCGCTGACACTTCCGATTCTTGGCTGGTCCGTAAGTAGACTTAAGACCGTAGACCCGCCGAAAAGGAACGGGCTCGGAAAAAAAAAAGGTGCCCAAAAATGAAACCCAAAACAAGGACCAAAATTTAACCTCAAAATCAGGCCCCAAAATGGAATCTGGAGGCCAAAATTTGTACAGAGGCGCAAACAAAGTCTACATGATCTTCTTTCAGCGGTCTGCTAGACGATTGGGCGGGCATGCCTCCTGTAAAGGGGAATCGTGGATGTTTGCGCTTCCAGGTCCAGACTTGCAAATCCAAGATGATTTGACGTATGTTTAAATCCCCGCCCCATCTTCAATGTTGGACGGAGGCTTAAATGTTGCAGTTTCACCTGAACTGACAGCCATCACACAGAAATTTTGCCTCAGGTCACATCCTCAAATTGGAATTCATTTCTAAGTTGCAATAGTGTCAACACACCCTCAACATTGGGGTCGCAGGGGAATTGAACCACCAGCGCCAGTCTGTCAGCAAGAGTGACGCCACACCGCAAGGAAAGATGGCCGCACGGGGTTCTCAAGGCTGCGCCTGCCACGCGTCAATGTTTCAGACGGCCGTACTGGGTTCTCAAGCGCTGCGCCAGCCGCGCTTCAACCTTTAAGATGCCCGTCTGGGTAAGCGCTGCACCTGCCGCGCTTCAACCTTTACGATGGCCGCACTGAGTTCTCAAGCGCTGCACCTGCCGCGCTTCAACTTTTAAGATGGTATAAGGTTCTCAAGCGCTCCGCCTACCACGCTTCAACCTCAAAGATGGCTGCACGGGGTTCTCAAGTGCTGCGCCCGTCGCGCAAACAAATGGAATCTGTAAAATAAAAGTACAAACAAAGCGCCGAACTTAACCCACGGCGCTGTGGTGAGAACACAATTTTATGTCAGCTCGCTTGCATCTGAACGTGGTTTGAAAGTCAAAATAGGAGGTCCGGAACAAGCTCCGGGACCACACCCGTTCTATACCCCCGTTCCCTACCCCCGTTCCATACCTCCTTGAAGGATCCGTTCCATACCTCTGTTCCATACCTCTGATTCATACGTTATGATATATATATATGTGTATTTATATATAGAGATATATAGATATAAATAATATATATATATAGATATATAGATATATAGATATATAGATATATAGATATATAGATCTATCTATCTATCTATCTATCTGTCTATCTATCTATCTATCCATCCATCTATCTATCCATCCATCTATCTATCCATCTATCTATCTATCTATCTATCTCTATCTATCTATCTATCTCTATCTATCTATCTATCTATCTGAATATGTGCAGTCTGATTTTACATTTGTACGCGCATACTTGAGCGCACATACACACATGAGTGTTTACATGCAAGAATACGTTTTGCTATGCCCAAACCCTGTGATTGTGTTGGCAAGTCTGTGCCTGCGGCGTTTGTTGTGTGATGGTAGGGATGTGCTTGGCTGTTGTCAGCTGGCAGTCTAAGAATGGATTGCTTGTAACCCTCCCTCCCTCTCAACCTGTGGCAGGTTTGCGCCTGCACCACTTACAGTTGCTGCCGGCTGTGGCATGGTAGAGATGCGCTTGGCTGTTGCTAGCTGGCAGTCTAAGAATTGCTTGCTGCGCTACTTTCCCCAAACTGCCAATTTCGATAAAGATGTGCTGCGTGCTAAAAAAATGTGCTGGAGTGGGCCCCGTTTCGTTCCAGACCCCGTTCCATACCGTTCTGTACCCGTTCCAGGCGCGGACCACCCATGTACCATCCCTGACCCACTTCCAGGTGAACAAATGGCAGGTTCTCACATAGACTGCTCCTAAGCCATCCTTTGCGCATGGGTTTTGGGAGACTAGAGACTTGCTACGCGGGGACACAATCTACCCCATAGGGACCGGGACCTCTGAGTTTTAAGCGTAGGTGGTAGGACCTGCGTGACAGGTCTGAAACTGAGTGGACAGCTTCACATAGTAGCCAGTGGGTGAGGCTGGCTACCGGTTATGTCCTATCTAGTGCACGAGCACTAGCCATGCAAGGCAAACCTGCGTTGAACAGGTGTACAACAAGGATGCCGCGCAGATGAGAAATGAAAATGAGCGGCAACCAGCGGTAGTAGCTTCAACGTGCATATCCTTGAGATGTATATTATTTACATATATTTTACATTTATACAGCATACATATATATTTATATTTATGTACAACTTATATTTCATCACATTCCAAAGTTCCGGAACAAGACCAGTTACGAAACCCCTTCGTTCCATATGCCCGGAACAGCGCGGAACGTTCCATACACAATTTTGACTCATAGCCTGACGAAGAAAACACAATTTCTGCAGAATATGCTAGATGTCTTCAACATAATTACAACATCCCCATATCTGCCAACAAATGCAGTACTCAAAACAAACATACCATTCTGAATAGGAATAATCATTCTTTGGGGCAACGCAGTGTGTTTTTGCAAAGACAATATCCAAACAAAATATGAAGTATTCCTTGAAAAATTGCACCATGCCCCTTAAAGTGTGCATTTCCAGATGTCTAACCTTCCTTTCAAAGGAACAGTACCTCTTTTGGAAAAATCAATATTTTTGCTATGCATGCAGTATTATTGACATAGAACATCCCCTTCAAACGCGCAATATGTTTGAAATCGTGAGCATTGTTACAGAATGCTCTTGCGTTTCTTACAGCAGAATATTGCCCTGCGTGGCAACGCAATCTTCGTGTGAAAAAACAACATTCTTGGAAAACAGGATTACTTCTGTTTGACATGTGTACTCTTCCCGTTGGTCAGATCAGCCCAGCCTTCATTTAGACAACTCTCACTTAAAAACATGTTTTCAATACTATCCAACAAAAATGTATTCGTTTACTCATATCAAGGGGATGTTGCACAAAATAAAACAACAAATTCTTCAATGACGAGTGTACTCTTTCAAAAAAGTGCTACATGCATACAGTATACAATATGTTCAAACAATGTTTGATTATCTTAGGATTTTAAGATCCACATTCTTCAAACTACAATATTTTTCAAGATGCAAATTCTTCAAGTTACAATATGTTTCAAGAGGAGAACAGCCTACATCAAAGGGTGTTATTCCCAAAATATGGTTCGTTGTCTTGGATAAATATCACATTATGCATTCAGAAAAATGATGTGCAATTGTGAAGGACATATTTTACGTGCTTACATATACCACGTGTTCTTCATTTAAGAAAACATATTGTGAAAAATGGCGTTGCATGTGCAGGAGGGTTCATTTTTGACATAGAAGTAGACTAAGACATGTCCAACTTCAATGGGATGTTCTACCCTTAAAAAAAAATGCACTTGTTGAAGGGAACACTCATTTCAAAGAGATGCAACACTTCTTTTCAAAGGAATCATTTAAAGTGTTTGAACATGTGTTGACTTAAGGGTTTGACTCGACAATGCCAATATCAAAATCAGTTCTACAAATTCATTGGTTGCCAATGTTTTTGCAATGTTTCCAAACACAGTTTGAAAAATGACATAAACAGACAAAATGCCTAATCTGTGTCCCAACCCCCCTAAGTTTCCCCCGGCGATACCTGCATTTTGCCATGGTTTTTACATGGTTTTCTAATGGAACCACAAACCCAAAGCAAACAACAAAACAACCAAAAACAAATTTGCAACCCCTAAAGTGGGAGAACTGGCAAAGAGTTAGGTCCAGGTCCTTCACTTTTGTGTTGTTTTGCGAGCCCTTCAAAAAAACCAACAACGAACCAGAAAACAAAAAACCCAAAAACCTTAAAAACAAGAAACATAAAAAAACCAAAAAACAAAAAAACAAGATTGCACACCCCAAGGGGGGAGTAGTGGCAGAGAGTTGGGTCTTGTCATTTTTTTTGTTTGTTTGGTTTTGTTTCGCCATTGCAGAGATGCCAGGGAGAAATTGTCAATGTTTGCACAGTAGTGACATAGCCATTGCAGATGTGCTAAGCAAAAATTGTCAGTGCATGTGTAAGAGAACAGTGAAAAAACTGCACTCTGAGGGTGTCCCCTTCTGTTTTCTTTCTGGCCATGCTGTTGTCTAGTTTGTTTGGTTTGTTGTGATGACAATTTTTTGTGGCCTTTGAATTTTCCATGATTGGATTGGACAAGAAAAACGCATGTTGGAAAAAATGACCGCAAATGTAACTAAACACTCATGCCGCCAAAAATCGCTTTAGAATGAATGCGTGCGTTTGGAAATGTTTGAAATGGACTGGTTCGAATCTTGGGCAATCAAATCTACCTTTGGTTATCGACACTCGGCGGTCAGAAATGTGTTGTTCCCAGTTTGGGAATGGTTGGTTGAATTCAACGCACAGACACGATACCGATGTAGTACAAAAACATACAAAAACAATGTTTTTCAGACAGTGTTGTGCACAATCACGCATGCCGATGCCACCGCTCCCAGCACTCGTTTTTGTTTCACGGGGTAAAATACGAAACAATTGACAACTTTCTGCAGTGCCCAGTAACCCAAGATTGCTCAAAACAGTTTTTTCACAACGGATTTCTCTTGCAGCCACGTGGCTGGACGTGGCACCCAATGGTGATCGGTAACACACTTTGCCTTCGTTTCTTTTTGTCAGGCGAATTGTGGACGTGTTGCCATGATCCGACCTGCCAGCCGTGGTTGGCACTCATCTGCAGGTGAACTTGCAGGCAAATTCACCGGGACAGGGTCATGCAGGTTTGTTCAAAGTGGATGAATATGGTCAGATAAAATTGATCGGAAAAAACTAACGGATCGTATTTTCGTATTTGCCATGGACATTGCATGATTTTCTTATATGGTATATGCACGAACGGATGACCGACACAGAAAATTAAGTATATAGTACAAATTTTATTCAAATGGAGTAAATAGGTTCTTCCATGCTCTTCCTATGGTATTTAAGCAACAAATATTGATTACTATCATTCTGCATGTCACCTACAAATTTGAAAGGTATTTTATACTATATACCAAATCTTTTTGTGACAATGTTGCAAGTATATGATTGCAATATTTGGGTATGTGCGACGTGTTTTCCCCCAACGAAAACATAATTCTAGCCATGTAAAAAAAACAATTGGACATTCGGATCTAATATATCAGTTCGATGCACCAATGGAATCAACATTACTTTGTTGTATTAGACTTATCCGAGACCATGTGCGTGTTGGCAACGCATCGCGCAGGTCCTGTGCAACGTAGACCCCAAAGACTTACACGACCTACACGTCCTGAAACATCCTATGTGGAAGATGTCCAAACAAGCACCGAGGCTGACAACTTTGAATCTCGGCAGGAAGTCTTTCTTTTTACCCCACAGTTGCCATTTTTTCTTGGTGAAAAAGGTGAAACATGTCATGGACAAGTCAAGATAATTCGAACATCATCATGTTGATTCCACAGGGCAATGCCTCGCAATGCATCATTTGGACTGAGGACTTATCAGACCTGAAGAGTGCCTTGGGATGTCGGGGGTGACAGGGTGTCGCAACAGTTCCCATTTTCCTTGTAGGCCTGCAATGTTTGTTTTTCGGGAATGCATTTGATAATTGTAGCTCTTTTGAGCTTGGTGTCCACGCTGAAAGGTTCAGCTGTGCACTCGCAGCAAATGTATGTTTTCTTGGCAGTTCAATTTTTTACAGGGTTCGAGCACCTTTTGCTTACTCCAATCCAATCAGATCAAAGCGAAAATCCAGAGTGGGGTTTGAGGAGCCACTTGGTCAGAATAAATGTCATTGAAGTCCTTGAAGATAATGTTTCCTATTGCTATCTTACACAAACATGGCTGTTGAAAGCACCGACTCAAAAATATGCCAACTCAAATGCCGCTTTCCAGCTGATGTGATTTTCCAGCAAAGTAGCCGGAAAAAAAAATTCTCTCATACTGTCTTACAACGTTGGGTCGGATATACATACTGTACATATGACTTCCAAACTTGATGGTAACTGTGGCCTTGCTTGCTGCTCAAGTAAATGGGGGTAGGAATTGAGACCGTGTGGAACTGGCTTTCGGTTGCAGATGAAGTGTCCCGTCTGAGTGCGTGCCCGTTCCACTGCCATTCCAGCTGTCTGCCCTGGATCTTCCTTGGATTTGGTCTTGGATTTTCTTGTGCAATCCTGATCTGTGGCCTTTGTGTGCTCTGGATTTTCAGATTCGAGTTGTTTTTCACTGGTCCTTGCTCGGTGCAACGTCCAGCACCCACGTCCTCGGCTGTCCCGATACCTTGAATGAGTTGTCCCTTTTCCGCATCTGATCTGCGAGATTTGATGTTGAAATTGGAGCGATTAGAGGAGTGGCAAAAGCAACTTGAAACTAGCCAGAGCAGCCGACCGGGGCCTTCCGGTTACCGTAGGGGAGATCCACAAGCCAGAGCCGCTGCCATTTTGGCCCATTGAACCAAAGCCTTTTTGCCCAGCAATCCCTCCAATTGCCCGTCTGTGGAAGTGCATTGAGGAAGGGGGTCCTCCCTTTGAAGGAAGGGAGTTTGGCCAGTGCCTGCATTGATCAAAGAGCAGGCCACTCACGGCGAGTGGAATCAGAAAGAGGCTCTCCAGCATGTGCACGTGACTTACTCTGCTGGGTTTTGGGGACGAGCATCCCTTGAAACATTTTCTGATCAGCCTGATCAGCCTTTCCTGGAGACTCCGCCCGTGGCTCAGCATTTCATTGTCCTGCGAGCGTGTGGATTAGGTGGCTTCGTCCGTTTTGCCTCCAAGAGCCATTTGAGTCGATTTTGTGATCAGGTGTTTGCCGGTGGTCTTGTCTTCCAGGGTTTCAACACTTTCAAAGAGCTTGAAGTGTATTGCAAAGGAGCACGAATTGCAGTACCTCCTCTCTACGAATCATGTTAGAGCGAAGCAAGCTTCGACCTGCAAGCAAAGGGGGCCCGTCCCTTCTTGTTATCACTTTGCCAGCCTCTGCATCTGCATTGGGTGATGCTGTGGATGTTGATGCTTTGCCAATTGAGCTCCGTGAAGGAAGTTTTTTGCTTGCCGTTCCCAAGGACATTGCTTCTGATTCTGCCCAAACCATTGCCGAAGGCCATGCTGGATCCGAAGAGGTTTTGTTTGTTCCTAATTCAACTTTTGTCGTTAAGCTGGTGGGAAGAGACTGAGGACTTGCTTTGAACTGTGTCCTTAGGCGTTGATGCTCCAGATCTTGTCATTGACGTGCATGATGATGTGTTGGCATTTTGCCGCGAGTATGGCCCAGTCACCGACAGCTTAGAGGTCATCATGGGCTTTTCAGCTGATCACCCTGCTAGTCTTCCTGATGTCACAAAGTTGATGCCAAAGGTCCGCCAGTGGTTGCTTGAACGTACCGATGACAAGGCAGGTTTTTATACTGCCCAAGAAGACCAGTTTCCCCTGCCCCCAAACCAGGCCCGTTATCAGATCCGCCCCATGCCAGCCCCAAGCCGAAGAAGATCTGCATGGCCTTTCTGTCCTTTCGCATCTAGAGAGACAGGGCTTCAGGAACCGGAGCATGCCATAGATGCTGCAGCAAATGGGGACTTCAGAATTGTCCGTCGAGCAGGCAGTTGTGGACAAGGGCGAACGCTGATGGAGGACCCCCCCTGGCCGTGTTCCAAGACCGAAGCCTGAATGTGGCCCAACAGCCCGACATACAAAAGCCTTTGGTCCCCTTGTCCCTCCACAGTGGACTGCTTGGCATATCTCAAGGACTTGGAAGTCCTCTCGACAAAGAAGGCGGAGACATCGAAGAAACCGCCAAAGGCTGGGCAAAATCCAAATGCACAGCCGTCAAGCGAGCCCGATCAAGAAGCATCACCAAAGAGGAAACCTCGGTTTCCCAAAAAAGCCCAAAGCAAAGGCAACCTCCGATGCATGAATAGCACAGCTCCGTCTTGTAACCGCTGTGAGTACGAAGATGCCCCTGCAGATAAGATAGACATAATTAAGGATGGACTTTTAATGTATGGACTTTTAAATATAAATAAAATAGAGATAGGTCCAAGGTGAGGTTTTGCAGCAAATGCCATCCATCCTTTGGTGAAGGAAAATCTTGCCAAAGTTGTGGATTTTCTCCTGGCCGTCAAGTTCCCGGAATTCAACTTGGGCCTGCTGTGGATGAATTGTCTTTCTCAAGATGGTGTTCGCTTTTGGCAGTCTCTGTTTTGCGCACAAGGTCGCCCTTTTTGAAATTTTGACTTGCAACAATGCACTTGCCACGGAGCTCCGATGCTTCGGTTTCGCCCGCCTTTCCCAGGGATTTTCTCAAGGATGCCTTCAGGTCTTTCAGCTGCCAAGAGAAGAAAGTACCACTTCCGACGAGCATTGCGCGTCATTGTTATGGCCCTTAACTTTTGGTGGTCTGGAAGCTGCTTCATCCCTTTGGAGCATCTGAAGAGGACTCCCTCTCCGAGCCAGCATAGATTGCTTAGGAGATTAGCGGGTCTAGTTCTGGCGGATGGCCCTAGTGAGAGCTTCCAAGTTTTAGCTAGTGGCCGAAGATTTCCTCAACTAGTGGCTCGCCTTTCTGAGCTGACAACACGTTCTGATCAGCCCCCATCACCCCATGCCCTGTTGATCTACACTATTGGGCCCTGTCAATAAGGGGGACTGGTATGTCAGGTTCAGTGGTCTGCAGCAATTGAGCAGAAAATGGATGAGATGATGAGATGAAAACAAAATTGAAATGGATTTCATCAGAAACCAAACTGGCAGATGTTGCTACAAAGATCGCAGCACGACAGCTGTTGGCCGACCGTCTTCGGTCCCATGTCTTCTCCCTGCATTCAGACCAAAGTTTTCAAGCTGCAAAGAAGAAGACATTGGGTCAAGCCTCAGCCAGACGCAATACTATCGGTCCTCTGGTGCACAAGGGAAGCCTAGTTTTTGCGGTGCTGTCGAATCAACTTGAGCCAGTTCAAGGAGATGATTTTTCTGATGATGGTCTTTCATCTTTCAATATCATTTTCATTTTCACCTTTTTATTGCCATGTTTGCAGCGACGATGTTTCTGGCTGGGCAGTGCTTATACAGAATGACAAGGTCCTTGCAGAGACCTTTACTGGTGCAGTTCTTTCAAAGAATGTCATGGTCCATGACGAGACCTTTACTGGGTTTTTTCTGGAAGCAGCGAGCTGTGCTGGAAGATGTATCAACTCAAGCAGATGGCGGTCGTGATCAAACAGTCAGACTGCTGAATTGCTGAATCCAAATGCTTGAACAACAGTTGGGCGAACGTGATGGAATAATTGAAGATCTTGAAAGCCTGGCCCACTACTACGAGGGTGATGTGACGACCACATCCTTGTTTGTGAGCCGGACTGGTGCCAGATATCATGTGAGCAGAGATTGCCGAGCTGCATCAGAAACTTGACATGCTGCAGCGAATGTATCCAAGTCCTAGGAGACAATTCCAACCTCGGTGGCCCATGGCGATTTTTCCTCCTTTCTACCGGTGTGAGTTTGTGCCACAAACTTCGAATGCAATCGCCATCTGCCAGGCCAATCTATATGCTGCAGCAGAACACCAATGACATTTCGGAACATCAATGCCATACCTCGCCGGCCTGTTTTGTTTTTTCCGACGTGGCGTGTCCTCTGTGAATCACTGAGGGCCCGTTTGAGCCTAACGACATGCCACGCATGCTGAGAAAACAGACCACTTGCTTTTGCAATTAAAGCGGAAGAACACACAGCAAAATATCACTTCATATCTTCGCATTTATATTTATATGTATATTTAAACTTATATTTATAGGTTGCTGCATCAGCGCAGGTGCGGTGTTTCCTTCAGCGGGCCCACGTATTCCCACCCCTAGTGGAAGCCCGAAGAGTGGTCGCCCAGCACAGCGGCGGGCGCAAACTGTTCTTGAGGGACAGCTGTAGCTTGGCAGCAAAAATGAAGCTCAGGATTTGTTATTCGTGCAACATCATATTTTTTCCAATCTTTGATTCTTCAATGATGCTTTTCCATGGCTGCCCTTTCTGTCCTATCCTCATCACCCAAACAACTCTAGGAATTCATTATCTTGCATTGCGAAGGTTCTCCCTCAAAATTCCAAAAATTGCCATGCCTCTACCGTAAGAGCCGCTCGTGTCTAAGATCGATCACTACAACATGTGCTACAAGTGGTTCAATCATGTGGTGAGTTGCTGTCACAATTTTTCTGTAACTTGATGTCGGCCTAAGGGTGAGTGCCAGAACACCTACCCCCAATGGAGAATCCCGTGGTGCACCTTCACCTCGCGGTTCAGTGCAGACATCGTCACCAAAAGGATCAAAAATCAGCACTGCCAGAGAATCCGTTGAAGTGGGAGGTGATGCTGAACCGAAACCGATGACTAGGTCAAAAATTTCAGTTCTGCGAGCAAAAACTGTGGATGGTGTGAGTGCTGGCGACCTCGACTCTCTTCATTTGCTTTAGTCTGCAGCACTTACTTGCTAATTTTTTTTTGCTCCACGCTTGTCAATTTTCCTTGATGAAAAATGTCATTGACAAGTCAAGATAATCATCATGTTGATTCCACAGGGCAATGCCTTGCAATGCATCATTCGGACTGAGGACTCATCAGACCTGCAGAGTGTCTTGGGATGTCGGGGGTGACAGGGTGTCGCAACAGTTCCCATTTTGTGAATTGATGAAGTGGTGAATTCCGATGTGCGGTGGATATGTAGGCCTTAGATTTGGGATTATATAGGTCCTTGTAGGCCTGCAATGTTTGTTTTTCGAGAATGCATTTGATAATTGTAACTCTTTTGAGCTTGGTGTCCACGCTGAAAGGTTCAGCTGTGCACTCGCAGCAAATGTATGTTTTCTTGGCAGTTCAATTTTTTACAGGGTTTGAGCACCTTTTGCTTATCCGATGCTGTGTCCACCTTCTCACGACTTGCTTCCTGCTGCCGTGTCCACCTCCTTACAACTCGTCTCTCTTATTTTCTCCAGTCTCGGTCTCGTCTTCAGGAACCTGCTGAAACCAGAGGAATCTCCTTTCCGCGTTATGATTCAGACTTTTGAAGGGCAGAATGTTACTCCGAGTCCCAACCACATAAGCCAAACCCATGTGATCCCATGTGTATAAATCGTGAACAATCGATATCTAGTACAATCTAGAGTTGTATTGTGCTACATGGTGGTTTTTGCCAGTGCTTTGCACAAACATGCCTGTTCGGAGCAATGACCCCAGAGGGCGCCAAATACTCTCCGCTTGCCAGCCATGAGTTCTTCAGCAAAGAAACCAGCAAGAAACACAGAGAAAACAGAAAAAGCGATTCCGTCGTTGTTTCTTCTAGAGTCTCTCCGTAGAGTCTCAAGATGTGCAGTCTTGCCACATTGCCGAGCAAGAAGCCCTGAGGTGCGGTGTTTCCTTCAGCGGGCCCACGTATTTCTACCCCTAGTGGAAGCCCGAAGAGTGGTCGCCCAGCACAGCGGCGGGCGCAGACTGTTCCTGAGGGACAGCTGTAGTTTGGCAGCAAAAATCAAGCTTAGGATTTGTTATTCGTGCAACATCATATTTTTTCCAATCTTTGATTCTTCAATGATGCTTTTCCATGGCTGCCCTTTCTGTCCTATCCTCATAACCCAAACAACTCTAGGAATTCATTATCTTGCATTGCGAAGGTTCTCCCTCAAAATTCCAAAAATTGCCATGCCTCTACCGTAAGAGCCGCTCGTGTCTAAGATCGATCACTACAACATGTGCTACAAGTGGTTCAATCATGTGGTGAGTTGCTGTCACAATTTTTCTGTAACTTGATGTCGGCCTAAGGGTGAGTGCCAGAACACCTACCCCCAATGGAGAATCCCGTGGTGCACCTTCACCTCGCGGTTCAGTGCAGACATCGTCACCAAAAGGATCAAAAATCAGCACTGCCAGAGAATCCGTTGAAGTGGGAGGTGATGCTGAACCGAAACCGATGACTAGGTCAAAAATTTCAGTTCTGCGAGCAAAAACTGTGGATGGTGTGAGTGCTGGCGACCTCGACTCTCTTCATTTGCTTTAGTCTGCAGCACTTACTTGCTAATTTTTTTTTTGCTCCACGCTTGTCAATTTTCCTTGATGAAAAATGTCATTGACAAGTCAAGATAATCATCATGTTGATTCCACAGGGCAATGCCTTGCAATGCATCATTCGGACTGAGGACTCATCAGACCTGCAGAGTGTCTTGGGATGTCGGGGGTGACAGGGTGTCGCAACAGTTCCCATTTTGTGAATTGATGAAGTGGTGAATTCCGATGTGCGGTGGATATGTAGGCCTTAGATTTGGGATTATATAGGTCCTTGTAGGCCTGCAATGTTTGTTTTTCGGGAATGCATTTGATAATTGTAACTCTTTTGAGCTTGGTGTCCACGCTGAAAGGTTCAGCTGTGCACTCGCAGCAAATGTATGTTTTCTTGGCAGTTCAATTTTTTACAGGGTTTGAGCACCTTTTGCTTATCCGATGCTGTGTCCACCTTCTCACGACTTGCTTCCTGCTGCCGTGTCCACCTCCTTACAACTCGTCTCTCTTATTTTCTCCAGTCTCGGTCTCGTCTTCAGGAACCTGCTGAAACCAGAGGAATCTCCTTTCCGCGTTATGATTCAGACTTTTGAAGGCCAGAATGTTACTCCAAGTCCCAACCACATAAGCCAAACCCATGTGATCCCATGTGTATAAATCGTGAACAATCGATATCTAGTACAATCTAGAGTTGTATTGTGCTCAAGTCTTTGGTCAGAATAAACATGGTGGTTCTTGCCAGTGCTTTGCACAAACATGCCTGTTCGGAGCAATGACCCCAGAGGGCGCCAAATACTCTTCGCTTGCCAGCCATGAGTTCTTCAGCAAAGAAACCAGCAAGAAACACAGAGAAAACAGAAAAAGCGATTCCGTCGTTGTTTCTTCTAGAGTCTCTCCGTAGAGTCTCAAGATGTGCAGTCTTGCCACATTGCCGAGCAAGACAGGAAGAAAGCGGTCACGCCAAGCCCCTGAGGTGCGGTGCTTTGTTCAGAAGACCCAGATGTTTCTCCCCCTGGGAGCCCGAAGACTGCTTTCCCAGCACAGCGGCGGGTGCAGACTGTTCCTGAGGGACAACTGTAGCTTATCAGCAAAAATGAATCTTACAGATAGATGTCAGCAGCTACATTTCTGCAAAATCTGTAATAGATTTGTAGATCAGTCTTGGATCAAATTGCTACACATGTTTTTTTTCTTTGCGCAACATATATATATATATTTGGTTTTTGATTCTCCAATGATACTTTTCCATGGCTGCAATTTCTGTCTTATCCCCACAATGTCCCCATACAACCCCAGGATTTCGCAATCTTGAATTGGGGACGTTCGCTCGAAAGTCAAGATTTGCTACATGTGGTGAGCTGTGCTGTAGCCCTGTCACACAGTAAAGTGCTGTAGCCCTGTCACGCAGTAAAATGGCTATCCAGCTATCCAGGTTGCAAGGATCTTCTCTCGAGTGGTGGCTGTGTTGGCCACACTGCGTGTGTGCTGTCAGCCTAAGGTGGAGTGCCAGAACAGCATCTCACGGTAAATCACGCGGATCAGCAACGCTGCCACTTCCGTCTCCAAGAGGATCAAGAGGCAGCGCCAGCAAGGAGTGTAGTGATAGAACGGTGGCAAGCTGAACCCAAATGCCATATGGTTGCTCTTTGGGATTTTGGTTTGGTGGTGTGGTACTTCCAGGCATTTGTTTTCTTTCCTTGAGACCTTTGAGTGCAGCCAAGACAACCAGATTGAAAGGTAGGACAGCTGGGACAAGTCACCTCAGAGGTCAAGTCAAAAAGAGGTGCGGCGAAAACAAGCACCTTTTTGACAACTCCACTTGAACGCTTCCGCTTTGGATTTGCTCAGAATGTATGCGAGCACCTGTTTTAATGGGGAATCGATGGAAATAGGATATGTGCACAAAGATGGTAGGCAAGAACAGAATTGCCATCGCGCAGGCAGAGTCTTCAAACCAAACTCTTGGCAAAGATGTGCAAATCACAGCAGAGCAAATACTTCCAAAACAAAAAGAACAGCAAAGGAGCTTGCTGACCTGGAACCCCTTCAAAGAACGTAGTCTTGACTTGCCTGTGTTGGAAGGTATGGACATCACGAACAAGCCTTTGATATTACAGTACAGCGGCCGTTCTGTTGATCCACGATAACAATACATCGTTGCATATGTGGCACGATTTGTCGAGGGGCAGTGCAAATACTCTTGCGGGATCTGGAGGGTGCGAAGTAAAGCATCTTGATCATAGCTTGCAAAAAACCTTGAGTCAAAACAGTAGAGAAACCTAATGCAACCGCAACAAACAATTCAAGGCTGCTTGTAGTCTTTCCGGTGTGCCATAAAACGAAGTGTCGGATTTGAAGAGGTTTATGAAAGGTCTATGAATGAAACAGGACATGTTGTGTTTCAAATTCAGTCATCAATTCCACAAGCACCGCAATTGAGACATGAACAAAGCAAGGAAAAAAACTGCGCTTGAAAATGCTGGAAGGCAACAGACCACAGTGATTTACGTGTTTTTTTCTTCACAAAACTGTGGTTATTTGTGTTGCTTTTAATTTCAACATATCCAAATACGACGATGTACAAAAACACCGCAATTTGCTGTGTTTTTGCATTTTCGAATAACACCAATCAGCAGCATCAATGCCCATCAATGCATAACATGTTTCCAAGCAAACCAAACATCAAAACTCGGAGATCGGACACTTGGGTCCTGCCCGCCCCACGTTTAACACTAACTACTAAGTCAGTTCGGTTTGATTGCTACGACCCTTCTAGATCGTGGCCTCCCGCTTGAAGGTCCGAGCGGTGGGATTTGTAAAGCATGTTCCTGTGTATAACGATGTATAACGACTCTTCTCCTAAAAAGGTCTGCAATCCTCGCAATTTTCAAAATGATGTGGCCTGGTTCACGATCCATGCGAAAAGACCGACCGTTTAGCTGAAGGACAGACAAATGGGTCCCTAGATTTGGGAACATCCTCCCAAGAAACCTTCAAGTGTTGGAGTTTTTCTGTGCCACGTGACGTGTCTGGAGCTGCGTCAGGGAAAGTGGAGCCCATAGATGCAGCTGTGACTTCTGCAGGAGCCTTTTACTGCACTTGAGAGGTTTGAACCATATTGAACCATATTGATCCATATTGTATGTTCATGCCAACGAAGAATGGACAAAAACTTCTGATGGACATGCAATGATTCTGATGATTCCAATCTTTGGAATGTTTCATTGTTTGGCTGAGCAAATCCAAACTGGAAGTGCATTTTGTCGATCCACGATCCTCTTCTATTCCCTCCCAACACATGTCAATCATGTCGCAGCGACCAAAGTGTGTTTCAGTTGCACCGTGGATGGGTTTGGTTGCCGCTAGCACTTGCAAATGTCTTGATAGCGCTGACTGTCCTCTTGTTTTCTGTCCAGGTCATGGTAGGCCATAATCCGAATGTTGTTGGTCCATTGGCCATTCTTTTGCGTTTTCTGGGAACTACCACTTAATTCAAGGTTTCTTTTGCTCCTTTACTTGTTGTGCACAGGAGCACCCAGGCTTGCATTGCCAGAGCACGATGGGCAGGACATTGTGTTTTGCCGTCCCGGCACGGGATGAGACAAGATGCATCAAGATGTCTGACAGATCTGACAGAATCAGCATTTCTTTTCGGAAACGCTGTGTCGGATTTTTGCGACTCCGTCTCGGGCGAATTTGGCAAGGACTTCGTGCCAGTCACCCAGACGCGTTCCGAGAGCCTTTCCAGCAAAAAGGCATCGAAAGGAGCGAATTCGGCAGCGACCAAAGTGTGTTTCAGTTGCACCGTGGATGGGTTTGGTTGCCGCTAGCACTTGCAAAGGTCTTGGTAGCGCTGACTGTCCCTTTGTTTTCTGTCCAGGTCATGGTAGGCCATAATCCGAATGTTGTTGGTCCATTGGCCATTCTTTTGCGTTTTCTGGGAACTACCACTTAATTCAAGGTTTCTTTTGCTCCTTTACTTGTTGTGCACAGGAGCACCCAGGCTTGCAATGCCAGAGCACGATGGGCAGGACATTGTGTTTTGCCGTCCCGGCACGGGATAAGACAAGATGCATCAAGATGTCTGACAGATCTGACAGAATCAGCATTTCTTTTCGGAAACGCTGTGTCGGATTTTTGCGACTCCGTCTCGGGCGAATTTGGCAAGGACTTCGTGCCAGTCACCCAGACGCGTTCCGAGAGCCTTTCCAGCAAAAAGGCATCGAAAGGAGCGAATTCGGCAGCGACCAAAGTGTGTTTCAGTTGCACCGTGGATGGGTTTGTTTGCCGCTAGCACTTGCAAATGTCTTGATAGCGCTGACTGTCCTCTTGTTTTCTGTCCAGGTCATGGTAGGCCATAATCCGAATGTTGTTGGTCCATTGGCCATTCTTTTGCGTTTTCTGGGAACTACCACTTAATTCAAGGTTTCTTTTGCTCCTTTACTTGTTATGCACAGGAGCACCCAGGCTTGCATTGCCAGAGCACGATTGGCAGGACATTGTGTTTTGCCGTCCCGGCACGGGATGAGACAAGATGCATTAAGATGTCTGACAGATCTGACAGAATCAGCATTTCTTTTCGGAAACGCTGAGTCGGATTTTTTCGACTCCGTCTCGGGCGAATTTGGCAAGGACTCCGTGCCAGTCACCCAGATGCGTTCCGAGAGCCTTTCCAGCAAAAAGGCATCGAAAGGAGCGAATTCGGCAGCGACCAAAGTGTGTTTCAGTTGCACCGTGGATGGGTTTGGTTGCCGCTAGCACTTGCAAAGGTCTTGGTAGCGCTGACTGTCCCTTTGTTTTCTGTCCAGGTCATGGTAGGCCATAATCCGAATGTTGTTGGTCCATTGGCCATTCTTTTGCGTTTTCTGGGAACTACCACTTAATTCAAGGTTTCTTTGCTCCTTTACTTGTTGTGCACAGGAGCACCCAGGCTTGCAATGCCAGAGCACGATGGGCAGGACATTGTGTTTTGCCGTCCCGGCACGGGATGAGACAAGATGCATCAAGATGTCTGACAGATCTGACAGAATCAGCATTTCTTTTCGGAAACTCTTAATGCCCTGCTAGGAGCGGCAGCGGCCCTCAAGCAGCATGAGCATGACCAGCAGGAGTGTTTGGTGGGTTTGGACCTGCACACCTGACCGGAATGCATAGGTTCCCCACTGGCCGAGTTTCGTGCACAGCTTTCTAATGCAAGTGATGAATCAGAATGGACATGAATTGCACCACACGCAACATGCCGTGCTTTCAACAGGAAGTCTTCAAGGAATACCTTTGTTATCTTCGTTCTGAGAGGTGTTGTTACATCAAACACCGGAACTCCTTTGGCATGTCAATCCTGGAGCGGATGAATATTCGGCACATACAGAGGATATGGCAAATATGGATGAATATGGGCGAACGCTACATGTCGTGGGGCTGAAGGACTGATGCAGAGCCTCAGATCTCGGTGCGGCGATTGTCCTTCGTGGGCATGTCCATGACAAACATTTGGGAAGCGATCCAAGAGGAGGACCAGAATGTGAGAAGCTGCAGCCGATGCAGGTTTTGAAAGTGATAAGGCCCAAAAGCTGCAGGTATTTTTTTGAAGTCTTAATTGCAACAGGTTGGAACACAAATGGTGGGTGGAAACTTGACCAATCATTTCTGGTGCTTCTAGAATGGGCTGAATCTCACAGCACATGCACACATCGTATAAGAATGTAGAAGATGTATATTGAATTTCCTTCATGCTCGCTGGGTAGGAACCATTTTTGGACTGGCTGCCTGAGTTTCTGACCGAGAACTTCGCGAATTGTGCAAGGATTTGGGAGTGGGTTAAAGAGGCATCCCTCTCTTCAGCCACAAAGGGACCTTCTCAATTTGGGTAAGATGCAGAGGCATCAGAGACATGCCCCCAAGGAATCCCCCCAAATTGTTCAGAGGACAAATTGCACTTGGCCAGATCTTTTTTTCCCATGGTTGTGTGGATTGTCTACAGGGTCATACATGATTTTGAAAGAACACCGACATAGCAGTTGAAGTATTCTGTAAGAGTGTTTAATATCTTCCAAGACTGAGGATGTTGCTCCCTCTCCAGTCATTTCAAAGAGCTGTTTTGCATTTTTATCATTTTTCACCAGTTTCAACAGTTTCACCCTGTTTCTTGGCACTGGTGGGCCAAGGTTTTGGGACAGGGTTTTGACAGCCCCGTGTCCAGCGGCTTGTAAGACGCTTGCATTGCGTTCACTTGCGAACTGGGTGGCGATTTACAATCGATGGCAAGCAGTTGGGGAATGGAAACCTGGCCAAGCACCGCACTTTTTCAATGCGCCTGGGCGACAGAACAAACAGGTAGGACGGATTGTTGTTTCGAATCCAGACGGATTTTTTTCAGAGCGTGCTGGAAGAGAGGGATTGATAAAGACACTGCCATTTCACCGCATCAGAGGATTTGATACAGCGCTAGAGAGTTCTCGTCTAAAGGATTTCTGCCGTTTCTTGCAGCATCGTCAAATGGGGAGCAGTAGGAGAGGCGATGAACGGCAGCTGAGCACATCGGAACAGCTAACAGATCAGCTAACCATTTTCATGAATTTTTCCTGGCTCGGCCCTCAACAATGAGCCTACAACTTGACCCAGGCGCTCGAGGCCCAGCAGATGCTGGGCATCCCATTGCCCCGCGTCCCACATTTGCAGATAGCAATCTTTTTTTCTGTTTTCTTGTGGTGCTTTCTTGAATACTCATGTCATTCCCCGGCGCATCTGAAGATGTTTCAAGCTGTTGAGATCTATCTGTTCAATATTGTTCAATTATAATCATGCAGTGTTTTCTTGGTGAACGAAGGTCATGCTCCAGTGATTGATTTCGTTGCGCAGCTCAGGTGATGGAATTTGCCAGGCTCTTCGACCCTCAAGGCTATGCCAGAGCGCACCAGACCAAGAGCCCTCGGGTCAGCGTGGGAATTATCAGGCAGCATCGATGGCAATCTTATTCCAGAGTATACTTACCGATGATATCCGATGTATCACTTGAGATCCAAACAAACATTCCTGGCCCTGGAACCTAATTGTGCTTGTCCTGTACTTGGTGACCCATGCGGTTGGGTCTCTGTGTGTGTGTGTAACATCTGAACAGATGTAAAACTTCTTTGATTCAAATCTGTTCACATTTGCCGGGAATCTTTTCACATTTGCAGGGGAGTGGAGCAGGCCTGCAGAGCTCCACTTAACAAAGCTCTCTGCAGTGTCCTGAGGATATCACTGGAGACGTCCAGTGACGTACCTGCGTTGTTGTGATCACCGGTTGTTCAGGGTTTGCTTCTATTCAATTGTCCATGTTTGCTGATGGGAAGAGGCTCAACCCAAGAACCTCAATGTCAATGTCAATGTCAATTTATTTATTTCTTCACGGTTGCCACAATCTGTATTTTCGCCGAAACCATGTAATGGTTTTTGCTACATCAGAACCTTCCTCAGAGCAAGGACGTAGAAAACATACTTGGAACAATCTGTTTACATGATCGCCGACACCATCGTCGCCGACAGTTATTTATTTATTGGCTAAGCTTCGCCGAGACATCGCCGATGATATTATTGCTGGTTTATTTATTCTTTTTGATGTCGATTCTGAACCCGATGACCATTCTGAAGTACTTCCATTATTCGTAGGCTGCATCGTTAATTTCATTGTTTCGTATCTAATCTGCATGTTTCAGGATTCAGTTCCTGCCGGATCATATAATGATCCATTCTTGTCTAGTGTGATTTCCATGGTGGCTCCGACATGGTGCCATGGAGCCATTTGAGGCAACCCTTGTCAGGGTGAGTGTTGACAGACTTGACTTCTGAATTCACATTTTTCAACTCAGTAATTCGTTTAAGTCAAGTGGAACAGCCTGCCTTGCGTTTTATCAGCCGTTTTGAGTGTCCCGCCGTTGCTGTGGTCCTTGTGAACCTAGTGAAATGCTCCTCTGCAGAGTGAAGTTGTGCCGAACATTCAGAAACCTCTTATTCTGCAGCACTCTCACAGCGACATTTTGCAACATTACACGACAATGGACCAGGCAGGCACACGACTTTCAGGTGTGGTTTTCCTTTCCTTTTGGTTCTCTGTTGAGGTGAAACATTTTGTGCATCTAATTCGCTGGAATTTGAAAGCCGTTTGATGCCATTGGGGCACGACTTGACTGCGGGCCTGTTGTGGCACAATTGCACGAATAGTAGCTCTAGGAACTGAATCCTGTTGTTACAATCCTGTTGTTACAATCCCATTATTTGTCATTATTCCTCGTGAGCGATGTATCCGTGGACCAACCCTCCGACGTCATGGCCTGCTCCACCGCAGCCTGCGAACCCATCTTCGACGTGGCAGCAATCGTCGCAAAATGCACATCTATTTGGACATCCTTCGGCATTGCATCCTACATGGTCTTCTTCAGCTTCGCTCATGCCGTCCACATCGGCCCCAACCTCGCTGCCGTTCACCTCATTGACTCCGGCTCCTCATGCAGTACCAGGCCCACAGTTCGTTCCCACTATGCCCTCGCCTTTGGCCCCTGAAACCACCATGGTGCACACCGCTCCGTCGACCTTTCCATCGCCTACGGCACCCACCGCTCCACCCACGTGGCCTACTCCATCCCCTACATCGACTACACCACCTACATCGACTACGCCACCGACACCTTTGCCCAGTTCTCCATACCCACCCCACCATATTCAACCACCATTACAGACGGACGCATCGATGGTCCCTCCAGATGAACCTTCAGTACGGGCCCCAGCAGTTAAAGCGGCTCCCAGGCTTCGCTCTGACAAGCGACCGGATCGACCACGTCGACCAGCTCCAAAAGTCCCTCCTCCTTCTACACCACCAACACCCACGGCAGCACCGACTTCATCCGTGTCACCTGAACTGGTAGCGTTGGGCTCCACTGCACAGCAACTTGCGGAATCGGTTCGATTTATTCAAGCTCAGCAACAAATGATCATGGATTCCCAACGAGCCCAAGAACAACGTCAGCTACTTCTCCAACAAGATGGACCTCCACCGAACCCTATTCCACAGACACCACCACCAACAACTACACCACCACTGATCGCCACTCCTCCACCTGCACCGAAAGCCAGACCCACCGAACCTGATATTCCGGACCCTCGTATTGTCCAAGCTCCAACCATCGATCCTCCTCACCAACTACATGTTCCACCACCAACAACACGCCGACCACGTTCCAGGACTCCAAGATCACGTTCCCATCGACCTTCTGTACGTTCCCATCACCCTCGCTACTCTCCCCACCGTGCAGCTCGACCTCGTTCTCCTCTTCCTCGTCATCGGTCATCCACGAAACATGCCAAGGACCGCAGAACCCCATCTCCATACAGACGACGATCACCACCAAGACACCGCTCTCCCGTGGTTCCTCGACGTCACCGATCTCACCCGCGACCACGTTCCGAGACACCACGTCACCAATCCAGAGGCCGTGAAGTCATACTTCGACCAGCTGCAAACCCATCCAATCCGAACTACATCCCCATTCCCGACGCTGATGACACCAGGGGTACATGGAAAGACAGCCACTACACCGACGACTACCATCACCACACTGCTCGACCCAATTCTCCTGCCGATCCACCACAACCGGAACCACCAACCAACCCACCAGCCCATACTTCAGCACCACTTGGCGCTGTGTCCTTCCGCGTCCCTGACGGTGACAGTGAAAATTCTGAGGTTGCAGATACAATTTCGATCACCAAGTTCGACACGAATGACATCGACCTCAGTGAAATGGTTGAGGCGGCCAATGACCCCCTTAGGGTCCGCTGCCTGACGGAGCTTGGGCCCGATCATGTTGTGCCCCTACGCCAATCATTGACCCCGGCTATCTTGCAGCTCTTCAACCAGTTCGTTGACGAGATGTTCCACCAGTTGGCTCAACCATACCGAACCGTCAACAACCAACGTATTTATATCAAAGCTAGCCAAGCCACCGTCAAAAACATTGCCAGGGCCTTTGCACAATCCAACTTACTGGACATCGAGCTTGCGAGGCAAACACAAGCCTTCTACATCGAGCCAGAGAACCTGCTGACCATCACGGTGCCCACAGGATTGAAAAAGAAACCAATCTATCGTGGCGAACACATGGGCACCTACCTGATCTATCACAAAACGAGTTGGGAAACAGTTGCCAAAATTCTCGCGGAAGACTGCATTCGCCCGGCAACTTGGACAAAAAACGAAGCCGGCATGCCAACTCAATACCCATGTTACGGATTCTTCGGTATGTCCTCTGAGATCGCGGACATCGACAACCTACCCGGCTATGCTGTCAAGATCTGTACCTCTCAGCTCTACAAAATTGGCAAAGGACAAAACCCATCAGGCCTGCTGGCCATTTGCCGCTCACCCAAATGCATCCGTGCCCTAGCTGGAGGAAATGACCAAATTCAACGCTTGTGCAACCTTGCGGGCATAGCCAAGGGCAAAGACAATGCAACGGCTATGAACTCCAGCGCCGCATCCATATGCTACGTCGCCTCCACTCACTCGGTTTTCCCGGGCTTGATCACACACCAGACGGCGGAGACCAATGCACCCACGGAACATCCTGATGATCATGCACGTCCAGTACGACCTGACCCTCCTGCCAATGCCCCAGAACTTTTGGAACCACCTCCAGACGACTCTCGAGATACACCTGGCCACCACGAGACAGCTGCTTCTGGTTCTCGAGATCATGCTCGCCGATCTTGGCACGACACTGCCCCTTGGGACAATTCAACCTACAGCCGCCGAGATCGCCGTTCCTCCTATCATGAAGGCCACTCTCGAGACCAGCACCGTGAAGGCCGACCTCATTCTCGACACTCGACGTATCACTCCAGATCTCGTTGGTGAACTCTTTACCTCTGAGGAGCACCGGAACAAGTATCGACTATTCTACGACTGCGATACAGTGAGCCTAGTGGCCTTGCCCGATCATTTTGGAGTAACAATGCTTCTCCCGACATTCGGTATTGATGCCACTTCTTCCTCAAAAGGTTTGGGAACTGCTGCATGCTCATGATATTTGAACCTTGCGCCAGATTCGAACTTCACTTTACGTTTCACCTACTGGTATCACGTATTATGTTTCACACCATTTCAATCACACATTACTCTTGTCTCACCTGGACAATTTCCGCAGCTTTCAACCGGCAGTTCGAGCTTATTTGACCTATTATCTCGTGGCCCCGTCTACATCATGGCGTCCCAGGACCTGATCTCCCAGTTCAATTCGGATGTCAATGGAATTCCTCCTTCCCAGCCGGATTGCTCTCGCACACCTCCCCGTCATCAACATGGATGGCACCAAGCAGTACCTGCGTTCCGTGGCCCGATGCACTATGCCATGGCGACCCATCGACCTTTCTGGAACCCGTCCGGAATACCGCCTCCGCCACCTACATCTCCATCGTTCCCAACACGCCCACCATGGACTCCACCTACGGCACCTTTTCCACCCACACCGCCTCCGTGCTCACAGACACCTCCCAACAATGCCAACTTTGCACCTCAACGTCATCCTTTTACACCGAGATCGCCGAGGCCTATGTCATCCCCGGGAGCAAGTTCTACTGTCAACGACGGATATACATGCAGACCAATCGAAATCCCACCAGTGGAGCAATGGAAACCTGATGTCGACTTCCACGACTCCAACAAAATCAATGGTCTGGATTTCCCTTCCAGAATCCGACAGAGCAGATTTTCCAGCTACAAGGACATTGAAGGGATGGATCCTTTACAAGTCCCACTCTGGAAGTTCTTGTACCAGGGCTTGCACAATACCTGGCTCCGTCGGGTTGCATACGGAAGAGAAACCTTCGTCCTCCCTTTTGACAACATCGGCACTACAGTATTTGTGGCTGAATTGGTATCACAACTACGCACCCGCAACGTGGATTTGGACAAACTTG